GCTGAAGAAACAGGACGAGATCCAGCGTATAACGGATCCATTTTTATTTGTGAATAAAGAGTAAGTAAAAAATAATAAAAATAAATAAAAATAAAATAATAAAATAATAAAAAATAAAAATAATAAAATAAGTCCAGTGATCACAACTTTTTTAAAAATACTGAAAATAATTCAAAACAATACTTCACACACACTTATCACACGTTTCTATTTCTTTTACACTAAGCCCCGCAATTAATTTCCTGAGTACAGCGACTTACGCCACTTTCAAAATAAACATGTTTGTTATACCGTTAATTAGCAAAACTTCTCTCGAACAAATCTCAATAGTTCTCAACTTATTGATTGCAAATTTTTTTAAAATGAAAATATACCGTTCAATTGTAATTAGTGTTACCATTAACTCGAACTTTCTGAAAAAGTGACTTATGCCGCTTTCAAAATAAACGGCTCAAATTGTAGATTGTCGCTGCTCAGGCCACGCATCGCGTCGCGTCGTATTCTAATCCTAATTTGACCTTACACAGCTTTTACGAACAATAATATGAATTTTAAGGAAATACATGGAGAATTAAACGTCCTTACTCATGTGAATAATAAATAGTACACACAGCGTACAACACAACAGATGACGTATGATTTTCGCATTACTTGTATTCGTTGATACAAAGTTGCATGTCATTTCAAGGTATACAAAGTTTATCGCACAGTGTCAGCAAGAAAATATACTAAAGATATACTACAGGCATACATTATACACACGCGTACTATACACCTCCTGTTCATAAACTTGCACATGTATATTGAATTTGTTTAGAAACAGAGGTGTGTCCTATAGTATTTTAGAGATTATTGAAGACCTCCAAGAAACTTTGAGAACTATCAAACACTTTCAAGTACTCTCAAATGCTTATATTCATACTTTCGATTGAAAATCAAGGTTTCTCCTTTCATTTTCTTCTTTTTCCTTTGTTTCACTTTACAATTTATTTAAATGGGCATAGTTTAATTTTCACATTTTAGACAATCTATTAGATATACTGAAACGCTGTCAGATACCTTTTGTTCCAATAGTATTTACAATTTATCATCGAGGGTCAACACGTCACCTGTTTTCAAAACATTTATGTAACATTTCACAGATCTTTAAGCATCCTTAGACAACTTCCAAGAACTTTCAACATTTTCAAACACCTTCCAACTATTTCAGATATAATATGGTTTTCTTTCTAACATTAATTTTAATTTAGGATATATGATGTTTGAATGTGTTCCATTGTTGCAGACGATTCTGCAGATGATTCAAAGAGAGCATATGGTGTCCAATTTCGTGTAGGCGGGGTTAGCTATAAGGCCGCAGCAAAACGCGAGGTCATTTTATCCGCTGGAGCTTTACAATCGCCGCCATTGCTCATGCTGTTCGGTATGGGTCCGAAAGATCATTTGGACGCTGTATGGGTGAAGACTGTGCACCATGCACCGGGCGTGGGTGAAAATCTGCAAGACCACGTGGCAATGGGTGGTATGACTTACTTGGTGGACCCGCCAGCAAATTATACGGGGAAGGACCCATTCACATTCAATTTGTTCAAGTCCCTCACCGAGAAAGATATCAAGGAACTCGCCACGGAGCGCAAGGGAAAATTGTATGGGTTGTCACTCGCTGAGGCTACGGCACACACACACACACACACACACACATTTATCAGTACTAAGTAAATATCTTATTATAGTGACAAACAAGTACATATGTCGGAGAACTTTTACGCTCAGTGATGTATAATTGGAAATGTTATAAAATTTGGATTAATTAACAGTTCGCGGTCAACTAATGGCATTAACATTGATAACAGTTGTCCTGCACCAGATACGTACTTCTGAGTTCATTATTTAAAAATGATTAATCTTTCAATTTTTAACAGTAAGGTATCCTTTAATTGACAGATTAATATCTATGAAGAATAGTGTAAAACTGCTTAGATTATAATCTATCTATCTACCTATCTATATACATGGTGGAGCATTTTAAACAGGTCACCTGAATAACTCGCTTGTTTTTAAAGATAGGAGAAAATGCATTAGACCAAACTTACTTGGTATCGGAGGGCACATAATCTGGTATTACCAATTCTTCTGTAGGTAGAGACGTCAAGGAGATATGAAGGTCAATTCTGTTTTTTTTTTAATGGAACAGTACATTTTTTTACTTACATTCTGATAGAGTGTTTCGAGGCGAATAAGGAAGCAAACTAACTTGATCACTAAAAACATTTTCATTCTAGTGATAATATGGAAGAATCTCAAACAGAAACACTGTTTGATTTGAATATGTAAATGTTACGATAAACTTACACATTTTTTTCAACTTCATGCTTTCTCCTGACTTCTATTTTACCAATGTTTATTTCCATGGGAGTTTACATATACTGTTATAATTACGATGCAACAACTGGGATCAACATCACTCTTGCGTAAATTTCCTCAAATGTTAGTTCAGTCCGTCCGTGACGTCACGGATGGACAGTTCAGCAGCGTAGGGGTAGAGTTCAGCATCATCGACTGACGATGACGAGACCTGATCACTCACGATCGTGAGAGCTTCTCTGACAACTCTGCTGACCTCTAGCTCTACCCTGCTAAACTGGTTATCCGTGACGTCAGGGATGGAGTCACGTGACATTTGAGGAAACTCACGGCGGCGGTGGTCAAGAGCTACTCAAGGACCTATTCGTGAACTCGAGTGCAAAAGAATTATACACCGATGGTACAAAAATTGCAAAGAAATNACACACACACACACATTTATCAGTACTAAGTAAATATCTTATTATAGTGACAAACAAGTACATATGTCGGAGAACTTTTACGCTCAGTGATGTATAATTGGAAATGTTATAAAATTTGGATTAATTAACAGTTCGCGGTCAACTAATGGCATTAACATTGATAACAGTTGTCCTGCACCAGATACGTACTTCTGAGTTCATTATTTAAAAATGATTAATCTTTCAATTTTTAACAGTAAGGTATCCTTTAATTGACAGATTAATATCTATGAAGAATAGTGTAAAACTGCTTAGATTATAATCTATCTATCTACCTATCTATATACATGGTGGAGCATTTTAAACAGGTCACCTGAATAACTCGCTTGTTTTTAAAGATAGGAGAAAATGCATTAGACCAAACTTACTTGGTATCGGAGGGCACATAATCTGGTATTACCAATTCTTCTGTAGGTAGAGACGTCAAGGAGATATGAAGGTCAATTCTGTTTTTTTTTTAATGGAACAGTACATTTTTTTACTTACATTCTGATAGAGTGTTTCGAGGCGAATAAGGAAGCAAACTAACTTGATCACTAAAAACATTTTCATTCTAGTGATAATATGGAAGAATCTCAAACAGAAACACTGTTTGATTTGAATATGTAAATGTTACGATAAACTTACACATTTTTTTCAACTTCATGCTTTCTCCTGACTTCTATTTTACCAATGTTTATTTCCATGGGAGTTTACATATACTGTTATAATTACGATGCAACAACTGGGATCAACATCACTCTTGCGTAAATTTCCTCAAATGTTAGTTCAGTCCGTCCGTGACGTCACGGATGGACAGTTCAGCAGCGTAGGGGTAGAGTTCAGCATCATCGACTGACGATGACGAGACCTGATCACTCACGATCGTGAGAGCTTCTCTGACAACTCTGCTGACCTCTAGCTCTACCCTGCTAAACTGGTTATCCGTGACGTCAGGGATGGAGTCACGTGACATTTGAGGAAACTCACGGCGGCGGTGGTCAAGAGCTACTCAAGGACCTATTCGTGAACTCGAGTGCAAAAGAATTATACACCGATGGTACAAAAATTGCAAAGAAATATAACCTTGAGAGAAAGTGTTCGTTTTTATCGAAAGAACTGCCCCGCGAAATTAGAAAGTGCTTTACCTTAGCATTTCCTCACATTATCCAAAACGGGTATAGAATATTCAATGTGATGCAGTTATTTTGTTCAGCCTCTATAGTTATGTCAACTCAAAACAAAGTTAAAGTTTGTCAAGTAATAACATTTGATATTCTAATTTTTTCAATTATTCTGATTCGACGAGTTGAATCTATTTCCATAGTAATCAAAATGATTTTCTGATGTTAACAGATAGAAGGTGCAAACTTCATATACAATCTCAGCCAGACACCATCTTTGAAAAGTTTAAATGCCAAAGCGAATCCAAATCGAATCCCAGAATGCTCGTCTTTCGAGTTTCCATCGGACGATTACTGGAAATGCCACGCAAGATTCTACACAATGACGATCTACCATGCGTGTGGGACTTGCAAGATGGGTCCAGCGACTGACAAGATGGCCGTCGTGGATCACAGACTTAAAGTACACGGAATTAAGGGACTGCGAGTGGTTGACGCGTCGATTATACCGAATATTACCTCTGGAAACACGAATGCGCCGGTTATTATGATTGCCGAGAATGCTGCAGACGTGATCAAGGAGGACTGGAAATAGTACATATAGATATAGATTGAGCTTGACCGTGTCGAATTGTCGAAATGGAAAATCTTGATGACACTAAAGAAATTGTGATTTCTCGAAGAAATTTTCTGTACTTTTCTTCAATTACACATGCTTAAAGCTCAAGTAGTTTCAATATTTAAAAAACCGGTATATTATTTAATTCTGATAAATTTCATTGTAATAAATATTCTCATAATATAAGTGAAGGTAATAAATTATTTTAATATTTCAAGAAAATATTTTATTTATAGTGGCTTGTTAATTGCAAATTATCCCATTTTTTGAAGATAATGAAGAAGTCGATATATTATTCTACTATATCAAGAAAATAATCTGGTTACAAATAAACTTATTGTTTACAAGCTATCCCACGTCTTGAAAGTATTTAAGACGTAATAATTTGTTTGTAATAATAAAATTTGATTTCGTCATAAGAGAAGATTGAAAATAAAATGACTGTTACGTAAAGATGAATCCTTTTGTTTACGTTGATTTGACGCTATTTGGAAGTGACTTTCGTGTTATAGAATTCATTTTTATAGTTGATGACGAATTCTTCCATGACGGTGCCTGGGTCAATTTGGAGGATCGCCACAGTTGGTGGTGATCGAGTTTCAAACGGAATTGATTAGTTTATAATACAATGAATTTTCGGACATCGAAAAAGTATTGTGATTTACGATTAGTTAGTTAATGCAAGTTGACAAAGATTAATACAGATGACGTTTCGGTGAAGTTAATCATTACTGTTTCTACGACGCAAATATTCCTTTGATATAAATATATATTTTTAAATATCCTAAGTGCTAGGAGGGGGGTAAAATGCATTAAGTATTTTTGTTTCGAGATTAATTTTTGGTAACATTGAAATTTCATAATTTAAGAGTCGAATCTTTTCAGAACGAAGATCGATGGATGGAAGTCTCTTTAAGCGTGTTTCGGAAGCGACAGCAATTTCATTTATACTTCAGTATATTATTTGTATTAATATTATATGATAACTTCTGTGAAATTGTTATTTAAAAAGAAATTATTGAACTTCTTCTACATACAATACAATTATCAAAAAGTCAGTTAATTGGCTGTAAGTAAAGTGTTAGTCAATTAGAAACATTCGAAGTAATTTTAGCAAATTTCAAGCTATTTTGCAGGAAGAATTTTTTAAGTTGGACTGTTTTATATAGTTGTTTAATGTTTCTTTATTTTTTAAAAAGTATCTTCTCTTCATCTCATTGGTCTTGGCTAACAGGCTAATGTGTTACGCAAAGTTACAACCGTATCATTGACTTCATCGTTCCGATTTTGTATTTGTGCATTCATTCGCAACATGAAAATTCCGTCGAATATTTTTACAATTCATAATCAAATGTTGAACACTTTTTACATAGAGTTTTTGTTAGATAAATTTTGATTGCACTTGACAATTGCATTTTTCGATGCAATAGCTGAAATTTTGTCAATTTTTACTGACAATAATATTATAATACATTAACATGATGATAATAATAAAATAAAAACAATATAATAATACTATAACGTTGCTATAATAATGTTGTAACTATAATAATATTACAATTATGCTACGATAATATAATGTAATGTAAATGTAATGTAATGTAATGTAATGTAATGTAATGTAATGTAATTGTAATTGTAATGTAAATGTAATGTAATGTAATTGTAATGTAAATGTAATGTAATGTAATGTAATTGTAATTGTAATGTAATGTTTAATATTATTTCTGCTGCACCCTCCTAAAGGATACTAAAGACACGAAATTTATTAGTATAGACTATCTCACCCGATGTCTGTCGGAGGGACAATGCAATTTTTGCAAGGTCACAGTACGTGGGAAAGTCTGTATCATAATAATATTTATCTTATTCATTATCCACCAACTTTTTAGCAAGACTTCCTATTAAGTAACAACATCCGCAGAACGTTCGAGAATTCTGAGTATATCTCATTGTGAAATCATTAACATCAATTGGATTTTCCTTTTAAATAATAAATCATGGGAAATTCTATAGAAATAAACTGTGAAATCTCGTGCGCATATCAATCATTTTAGATTTGTATTATTTCTCAGTGTTGATTGTTGCGTTTCCTGTATAATAAGTGAACAGCAATTATCATAATTCAAGATTTCTTTCAATTTAGTTGTAACTGATTGTAAGTGCAGTATCGCCATAACAATTTGACCATTTGCAGTTGTCTTAATTAAGAGCATTGTCGTTATTACATTAGTATTATGTAAATTTATTATACTATATACTATATGCATTATA